CAGCTCAGCCGAGACAGAAGCCCTCACTGCAAATGGTAGGCAGCACAGTTTTTGCCGTACTGGTTTGACAGTAGGGTCAATCTTCACTTTATGCACAAAACTGTGTGCACAGCCGATTTCTGAAGCCATAGGGATGCAGGTAGGTGTAGCATTTGTGTTCATTACAGGAGCAGGTGAAGCAGCACTAGAAGATGGGGGAAGAACAGCAGTTCCTTTAATGCAAACTTTCAAGGCACCCATTAGGTCTCTACCAAGAAGAGGTGTACCAGTCCTCACGACATAGAAATTGGATGATGCCGTTGAGTCTCCTCTAGTAACAGTAGCTTGTAAGCAGCCTAGCACAGGAATGGTTTTCCTTGTGTATGTCACCAGTGAAACAGCAGGTGGGAGGAGAGGTATGTCACTAAAGCACTTGTTATAAATGGAATGTGGCAATATAGACACTGCAGAACCTGTATCCACAACCAGTTCTATTTCTTTAGCAATTGAAGCAGGGGTACTAACATTGACTTTGCATAGTAGTTTCTTTGTTACATGGCACGAGTACCTCAGATACAAAATAGTTGTTTTGGGGAGGCATACTTCACGTACGTCACCAGTTTTGGATGAACGACAAACACGAGCAAAATGTCCAACTTTATGGCAGGCCTTACAGGTTGCTTTAGCTGCTGGACACTGAGGAAAGTTAGCCAAATGTTTGTCTGAACCACACCTGAAGCAGTTATGAGACACAGCAGTAGCATTTGCAAGTTTACTCTGGCATAAGTGTGGCTTATGTGTCTTTCTAGACACCTGTTGACGGGGTCTTACAGCTTGAACTGCAGCACTGTCCGGTGCTGATATCATTTTAGCTTGAGTAACTGCAAGTTCCACCTGTGTTGCTACAGTTACAGCTTTATCAAGCGTCAAGTCTGTTTCAAGCAAAAGCCTTTCTCTAATGCTGGAGTCAGTGACATGTTCGATAAGCTGGTCACGAATCATTTCGTCAGTTTTGTCCTCGAATCCACATTTTGAAGCTAGGTCACGTAATGCAGCCACATACTGGGAAATAGTCTCATGGTGTGCTTGTATTCTCTTTCTGAAGTTATACCGTTCCACCACAACATTAACTTTAGGCG